ACTTAACCTACCCTTGCTTCAGTATCATCCCTTTAAAAATGGAGGGAGGGGACACAGGCATACCCACCTTCCAGACTATGTGATGGTGGTACTGGGACAGGGCCTGCATTGCACATCCCAGGGCTGCTGCCCTTGCTACTTGCTTTGTCCTCCCAAGTCTCCCTGTTCATCAGCCAGGGATTTCGGGAAAACCTCAATTACCTGGACTCCTTTCTTTCGGTTTCTGCTTTGTCTTTTGCCTTCCAAATGGCTCCTGTCAGCTTCCACTCAAGTCTCCTTCTTAAGAAGTTGAATGTTCCCTTAGGATTTGCTATTTCTGCTTCTGTTCTCTTGTCTTTTCCCTCCGGGGAAAGGAATCTTTCTAAAGCGACAGTAGTTAATGATTCCTCTTTGGTCAGTCAGTGGTTTTCAGACTTGCATTCTGTATCATGGGATTCCCTGGCAGGGACACTGTGACTACCATAAAGCAGAGATACATAAGGGAGAACTATTACCCAGTCACTACCAGACACGGGTCTTCACTATGTCTCTTACTATAATCCTGCTGACATGGACATCTCCGGGTCTCAGGGTGAGATCCAAGCTCTGTGTTCAGTAATAAGAGGTGACACACACACAGCACTTTCCATATGTGGGCTCTGCTCCCTCTGCCTCACTGCTGGCTTCTCTGCCTTCACTCGGATTTCTTTGTCTGTTTGCCATCCTGCTGCCTGGCTTGCATGGCCAACTGTTAGTTGTTACTTAACGCAGCAGTCAGATATCACCTTTTCCTGGTCTCCATTAGGCACGGGCGCAGGCCTCACTTATGTCTCATGCCACTTCTGCTCTCCGGGAAGGCAGGCCTTGCCCGCTGTTCTCACTTGCTGCTGCCCTTGCTGGCTTCCTCTCTTGCCTCATCGAACCCTGTGGATTTTCTCCAGTCTCGCTTTGTATGCTGTCCAGTCTCTCAGTACACCTTCTGTATACTGTTTTAGCCTCCTAGATCACTCTTCATCCTCATTTACTTCCCAGTTAGCAAACTCCTAACTTCAAGGCTACAGCCAAGCCTGATTTCCTCTGTGGAATGTACCTGACCTTCCGCTGTGCCTCTAGAGAGTTCTGGTAGAGTGTTCTCTGCTTTCAAAACTTACCCCATTGGACTTGACCTCCTTGGGCAGGAACCATGTCTTTGAGCATTTTGCAGTAGCTCCTCAGCTGCCTAGAACAAAGCCCAGGGTTTTGGATGTGCCATGGGCATCCCTTCACAGTCCGTCTCCAGACTGTCTTCATTGTGGTCTCCTCTCCTGCCATCTGTGCACCTCAGCTGTAGCCATTTGCACCAGCTTGTGATCTTCTCAGCACGTCCCAGTTTGGACTGACCGCACATTTTTTATTTACATGCTGCCTGTCCTGTGCAGTGCTGTCTCTTGGCAGGGGCTCTAGTTTCCTTGGGATAGCATGCTCTTTCTTATAAACCCCTTTTTTAAGTGTATAATGTTTCAGCTTCTCCTCCCAGAGGTCATATAGTAATCCCCTCTGTATGCGTCCAGTGTTACCTAGATCACTCTTCATCCTCATTTACTTCCCAGTTAGCAAACTCCTAACTTCAAGGCTCATATAATGTTACCTAGATCACTCTTCTCTCTCTCTCTCTCTC